TCCCTGGAGGGACACCCAGGCCACTTCAGGCATCCTGGAGAGGCACCCAGGGCATCACAGGCACCCTAAAGGGGCACCCAGAGCACCCTAAAGGGGCACCCAGGAGCACCCAGACCCTTCAAAGGGGCACCCAGAGCACCCTGGAGATGCACCCAGGGCACACCAGGGCACCCTAAAAGAGCACCCAGGGCACCCGAGAGCACCCAGACCTCTCAAAGGGGCACCTAGGGCATCCCAGAGCACCCAGACCCATGAAGGGGCACATGGGGCACCCTAAAAGAGCACCCAGGGCACCCCAGAGCACCCAGACCCCTCAAAGGAGCCCCCAGGGCACCCAAACCCATGAAGGGGCACCCAGAACACCCTGTGAAGGCACCCAGGGCACCCCAGAGCACCCAGACCCATGAAGGGGCACATGGGGCACCCTAAAAGAGCACCCAGGGCACCCCAGAGCACCCAGACCCCTCAAAGGAGCCCCCATGGCACCCAAACCCATGAAGGGGCACCCAGAACACCCTGTGAAGGCACCCAGGGCACCCCAGAGCACCCAGACCCATGAAGGGGCACACAGGGCACCCAAACCCATGAAGGGGCACCCGGGGCACCCTAAAAGAGCACCCAGGGCACCCCAGAGCACCCAGACCCATGAAGGGGCACACGGGGCACCCTAAAAGAGCACCCAGGGCACCCCAGAGCACCCAGACCCCTCAAAGGAGCACCCAGGGCACCCAAACCCATGAAGGGGCACATGGGGCACCCTAAAAGAGCACCCAGGGCACCCCAGAGCACCCAGACCCCTCAAAGGAGCACCCAGGGCACCCAAACACATGAAGGGGCACATGGGGCACCCTAAAAGAGCACCCAGGGCACCCCAGGGCACCCAAACCCATGAAGGGGCACCCAGGGCACCCCAAAAGGACACCCCAGCCCAACCCTCGGCCACGGGCACCCCGAGCCCCCAGCGCAGCCCCCCGGGCAGCCCGGGGTGCCCCCCACACCCCCCCCCGTGCCCGCAGGTGATCACGGGCCAGGGCAGCAGCTCCTTCGGCTGCACCTCCCTGGCCGAGCGCGACCGATGGATCGAGGAGCTGCGCCGGACAGCACGGCCCAACAAGGTGGGGACACCGCGGGGACACCACGGGGACATCACAGGGATACCAAAGGGACACCGTGGGGATACCAAAGGGATACCGTGGGGACACTGCGGGGATACCACGGGGACACCACGGGGACACCACGGGGACATTGCAGGGAAACCATGGGGATACCATTGGGGACACGGTGGAGACACCACAGGGATACCATGGGGACACCAAAGGGACACCATGGGGATACCAAAGGGACACCACGGGGATACCAAAGGGACACCATGGGGATACCAAAGGGATACCATGGGGGCACCACGGACATACCATGGGGATACCACAGGGACACCATGGGGACACCATGGGGACACCGTGGGGACACGGTGGGGACACCACGGGGATACCACAGGGACACCAGAGGGACACCATGGGGACACCAAAGGGACACCGTGGGGATACCAAAGGGACACCACGGGGACACCACGGGGACATTGCAGGGAAACCATGGGGACACCATGGGGACACGGTGAGGACACCACAGGGATACCATGGGGACACCAAAGGGACACCACGGGGACACCAAAGGGATACCATGGGGATACCAAAGGGATACCATGGGGGCACCACGGACATACCATGGGGGTACCACAGGGACACTGCAGGGACACCCCGTCCCTCCCTATGCCCTCCTGTCTCCACCTCCCCTCCCGTGCCTCGATGTCCCTTCCAGCACCTCCACATCCCCACCATTCCCACGTGTCCCACCCATGTCCCCTCTATCCCTCCATGTCCCCCTGTCCCTCCATGTCCCCCCGTCCCTCCATGTTCCCCCGTCCCTCCATGTCCCCTCCATCCCACACGTGTCCCCTCGTTCCCTGCTGTCCCCACACATCCTGTCCCCCCATCCCCACATCCACATCCCCTCCATCCCACACATGTCCCCATGTCCTTCCATGTCCCCACATATCCCGTCCCCACATCCACATGTCCCCTCCACCCCACACATGTCCCCTTTTCCCTCCATGTCCCCACATACCCCATCCCCACATCCACATGTCCCCTCCCTCCCACACGTGTCCCTTCATCCCCTGCTGTCCCCACACATCCCGTCCCCACATCCACATGTCCCCTCCATCCCACACGTGTCCCCTCCATCCCACACGTGTCCCCTGCCATCCCCACACACCCCGTCCCCCCGTCCCCACGCCCGACTCCCCGTCCCCGCAGGACAGCTGCGAGCGCCTGGAGCTGTCCCTGAGCCTGTGGGTGTACGAGGGCCGGGATTTGCCCCCGCGGCGCCGCCTGCGCTGCCACCTCCAGCTGGACGGGACGCTCTTCGCCCGCACCACGGCCAAGGTGGCGGGCGCCGACGGGGGGCTCTTCTGGGGGGAGCTCTTCCATCTGGCCGCCCTCCCGCCCGCCCGCGCCCTCACGCTGGCTCTGTGCCGCGACGACCACCCCACCGGGCCGCCGGTGGCCGCGGTGACGGTGCCGCTGGCCGAGCTGGCGGCGGCGCGGCAGCCGCTGGAGCGCTGGTACGCCCTGAACGGGCCCGGCGGCGGCGGCGAGCGGGCGCCGGCGCTGCGGGTGCGCGGGCGGTACCGCGAGGTGCGGGTGCTGCCCATCGTGCGCTACAAGGAGCTGGCCGAGTTCATCACCTTCCACTACCGCCAGCTCTGCGCCCGCCTGGAGCCCGCCATCGCCGCCCGGCACAAGGAGGAGCTGGCCGGCGCCCTGGTGCGCGTCCTGCAGAGCACCGGCAAGGCCAAGGTGGGCACCGGGAGGGTGGGGGAGGATGGGAGGGGAGCCGGGGGTGTGGGCGTTGGGGCGGGAGGGGCACCTCGGGGTGATGGGGCGGGATGGGATGGGATGGGTGGGATGGGTGGGTTGGGATGGGATGCGTTGGGTTGGGATGGGTGGGATGGGGTGGGTTGGGATGGGATGGGTTGGGATGGGATGGATAAGTTGGTTTGGGATGGGATGGGTGGATTGGGTTGGGTTGGGTTGGACTGGGATGGACAAGATGGGATGGGATGGGATGGGATGGGATGGGATGGGATGGGATGGGATGGGATGGGATGGGATGGATGGGTTGGGTTGGGATGGAATGGGATGGATAAGTTGGGTTGGGATGGAATGGGACGGATGGGTTGGGATGGAATGGGATGGAATGGATGAGCTGGAATGGGATGTATAAGTTATGTTAGGATGAGATGGGATAGATGAGTTGAGTTGTTTTGGAATGGGATGGATAAGTTGGGTTGGAATGGGATGGATAAGTTGAGTTTGTTGAGATAGGATGGATGGGTTGGGTTGGTTTGGAATGGGATAGATAAGTTGGGTCGGGATGGGATTGGATGAGATGGGATGGGATGGGATGGGATGGGATGGAATGGGTTGGGTGGGTTGGAGTGGGATGGGATAGATGAGTTGTGTTGGAATGGATGGGATGGGATAAATGGGTTGGGTTGGGTTGAGTCGGAACAGGATGGGACGGATGAGTTGGGATGGGATTGGAGGGATAGAAACACAACTCAGGGCAGTGCCAGAAGATCCGGGGGGGGGGAAGTTGGCCGAGCCATTTGGGGGGGGCCACAGGTGCCACCAAGCCCTCGATCACGTCCCCTGGCAGTCGTTCCTCATCGACCTCGGCGTGGCCGAGCTGGACCGGTTCGACGAGCGCGAGGCCCTGATCTTCCGCGAGAACACCTTGGCCACCAAGGCCATCGACGAGTACATGAAGCTGGTGGGGGGCAAGTACCTCCAGGACACGCTGGGTACGCCGGGGGAGCAGGTCTTGGGGGACATCCCGGGGTGTGACGGGTGCAGGACGCCCTGGGAGGGACGTGTGGGTGTTATAGGGCGTTACGGGGCGTTGGGGCTGAAGGACACCCCCAGACCATCCATGGGGACGTGGTGGGGGTTTGTCCCACCCATCCCTGTGCTGGTGACCGATTGGTCCCCTCACGGGCTTTGGGACACCCCCAGACCATCCCTTGGGACGTGTCCTGGCCGTCCCTGTGCTGGTGGCCAGTTGGTCCCCTCACAGGACACCCCCACACCATCCATGGGGACACATCCCAGCTATCCCTGTGCCAGGGGTCGGTCTGTCCCCTCACGGACAGTGGGACACCCCCAGACAATCCATGGGGATGTGTCCCAGCTATCCCTGTGCCAGTGGCCGGTTTGTCCCCTCGTGGACACCCCCAGACCCTCCATGGGGACACATCCCAGCTATCCCTGTGCCAGTGGCCTGTCTGTCCCCTCATGGGCAGTGGGACACCCGCAGACCCTCCATGGGGACGTGTCCCAGATATCCCTGTGCCAGGGGTCGGTCTGTCCCCTCATGGACAGTGGGACACCCCCAGACCGTCCATGGGGATATGGTGGGGGCTTGTCCCACCCATCCCTGTGCTGGTGGTTGATTGGTCCCCTCGCAGAACACCTCCAGACCCTCCATGGGGACACATCCCAGATATCCCTGTGCCGGTGGCCGCTCTGTCCCCTCATGGACAGTGGGACACCCCCAGGGGTCGGTCTGTCCCCTCATGGACAGTGGGACACCCCCAGACCATCCATGGGG